TCTCTACTCCCTCCCCTCCCCACCCCCCCCCATCTCCTCCTTTCCCCCTCCAGACACCAGTGTTCAAAAAGCGCTAGGCGGCACCTAGCGTCGGGGGGTCTAGGCCGCCTAGAACCTGGGCGGCCAGTAATGTTTTTTTTTTTGGGGTTTTCTCTCTCTAAAATAGCCTCTAATGGGTTTTAGGTTTTTTGAAACCTAAAACCCACAATTTTGCACCTTTAGTATTAAAAAAAAGACCTAAAATGACCCAAAAATGGCCTCAACGAGCGGCATTTCTGCCCCTGGGAGGGGCGCAGGTCCCGGGCGGCCCCAAGGCCGGTTCCGGCGGCCGCCTAGGCGGGCGTCCGAGGATACCCGCCAAGGCTTGGGCGATGCGCCCAGGCCTTCTAGACCGCCTCGGCAGCCGCTCAGGAGCTGGGCAGTCCGCTTTTTGAAACACTACCAGACACTAGAGTATTTTTGGGAGGAGCTTGGTAGAGTTTCGTTGGTGAAGGCATATTATGATGGGTTTAGTGAAAATCCCTTGAAAGGAGATTAAAGGGGAGTGGACTGATTGTGAACATGGAGCAGTGCAACAACTTTGTCCTTTTGGGAACCATGTGAATCTCCATGCCTTTTGGTCATCTCTTACTTATCTGATCTTAATGTGGCCCTAGAGGAATGCCCAACTGGATTTTTCTCCTCAACCTTTGGTTTTGGCTTCACTTTTTCTTCATTGAAGGATTAGGTCAAGCAGAGGTTGCTACTTCAGGTGTATTCTCCCTTGCATTTACTGTGTCGACAAGCCAGATAGAGAGTCTTGGTCATCCCATGTTCCTCCACATGCTCAATTTTTGCAATTCAATCTCAAACCAGACTTGAAATTCAAGACCATACGAAAATCCATTGATTTGTTCAGATTTGAAGAGAAATTCAGGGTTTTTTTCTCTCTACCACCTCCGTTGCCACTTTATGAGAATCAACCTTTTTCCCTGGCTTCAGTGCTATACTTCTGCCTCTGCATCTTGGGCCTCCAGAAGCGCAATATACACCTTACTTTGAACCTATTTTTTTTAAATGGAATATGTTCATTTCGTGTGGTCATCTAGTAGTTTGCCAAATAACCATGCAGTGTTGTGTATTTTGACAAATTCCACCCCCCCACCCGGCCCTTTTTTTTTTTTTCCAAAATCTGCTTTATAATGATATCTGGCTGTCACAAATGTTCCTTTATTTTGTTTGCTGGCACAAATGCATGGGGATTCAGTCA